CCTGCATATGACCTGCATGACCTCTACAAGAGCTTTGTACAACCTTCAGACGACCTTCACATAACCCTCACGTGACCTCCATATGACTCTCACCTAACCTCCATATAACTTTTATACGACCTGCATATATCTTCTATATAATGTCAATGATTCTTTACCATCACATGCGCCTTGTATGCCTTTCATTTGACCTCACATAGCCTTCTCATGACCCTTAAATACCCCATATAACTTTTCTGTGACCTTCCTATGACCTTCATAGAGCCCTCATATGACCTTCACATGAACTTCATCCCACCTCCTTATGATCGTCAAAGCCTGCATATAACCTCCCCATAACTCCCATATAACCTGCATATGACCGATATAACCTTCATATGAGCTTTGTACAATCTTCATACGACCTTCACATAACCCTCACGCAACCTCCTTATGACCTTCACGTCACCTTCATAAAGCCTACATCTGACATTCATATAATTTCCATATACCCTGGCTATGACCTACATGACCTTCACACAACCTATATGTGTCTTCCATATCAACAACACATAACCCTCATATACCCTTCACATAATCCCCATCTGACCTCCGTATAATATCAATTTGATCTCCCTTCGAACTTCACATGCATCGCATATAACCATTACATGACTCGTATATTTTATATACAGCGAAGTCATAATTTACCTCAATGTTGAAAAATTATTCATCTTTCAATTATTAATTTATTTATTCATTTATTTTATTAGAGAACATCCTCTGAATTTAACCCCCTATTCCTCAATTATACCGAAGCATATAGAGAAAAAAACATAATTTCCGTCAATGTGGGAAAATTGTTCATTTTTCGAGTAATGAACAAAATTCTATTATTCATTTATTTATTTATTTATTTATTTATTTGGTGGCCAACGGCCATGGAAAACGGCCACGAATTCCAAAATACCTATGGCCACGCCATGGCCGTCGGCCATGTCCGATGGCCATGTCCGACGGCCATGGAAATTATTGTACGTGATATGCGGTACCAAGGGGAGAAAAATCATGCGAGTATGTGCAATGTATGTTCGTTTTCTTCCATGATTCTGCCCCTCTTGGTGTATACAACAATTTCTCGTTTCTACAGGTAATTTGATCTCTATTCATCTAGTTACCCCACATAAAATGACCCTATGACTGTCACTAATAATCAAACAATTATTTTCCCTAAAAAAAAACAATTGGCCTAATATGCAAAGAATTTCACTTCTATTATTACCGTTTTCTCTGAGCAACTATATTTCAATATTTGGAATTTCGTTTTCGTTTGATTTTACTTATTGATTTGTTATTAATCGATTTCCCAGCGGAAGAATTTATAAGTCCAGTGCGACAGACTCCCTCCTCTTTGGTGATGGTGAGAGCATTGTCCCAAGCGATGGTGCTATGTTAATTACGATACTCATCGGGACATCTTCACGACGATCTTCATTGAGGATGGGTTCGGATCGTGTGTGCGTTATCGGACATGATCTAGTGCGTATGGTCATGGTAAGCGGTTGAATCTGTATTGGCTCTTGAACCTTATATTGAAGTTCAATTTTTCTCGTAGGTCTCCATTTTACCTGGTGACAGCAACCCATCAACCACGTGATGGAACTTTTTGCGAGTTGTTGATTGCAAAATACGTAACCGAGACCGAGGAATGAAAGGAGACCAATGCCTCCAATGGACCCGAAAGTGATTAGTTTCTGTTGATAATCTTCCTGGTGTTGTTGGCCGATTTCTTCCAGATGTTGTTCTGCCTCACCCAAGCGCATCTCGTAGGCCGCGTGGTTTTTCAGCTTTGGAAGTGGATTAATGTGGATATTGGATAATGGATTCAATTGGTATCTTTCATTAGCGACTTTTGGACTTAGTTCCTTGATATCCAGGTTTAATGCCGCTAGATGAATCTGGATTTTAGTTGAGGAAATTTTACCAATATGTGAGATTAGATCTGCGGGCGTTTGTAGATGGCAGTCTTGATCTAGTGAGAGAATACCAGTTCCATTTATTTCTATTTTGCCTAATGTTTTACCTTTGCAATAGAATTTGCCTATTTCTGGTTCCGTAGTGGCAAAAATCCATTTGTTGGTATCTCCAAGGTTGCTCCACTCGGTGCCCTGAGTCTTCTTTATCTTAATATCACATGTTTTCAATATCTCGATGGAGGATTTGAGAAGTAGCATAACTTCACAGGTTGGCTTTATGGCGGAATTAGATATGGCGAATTTTGGCATATAGATTATTCGGTTGCCTAGAGGTGCACAGCTATCCAGTACTGCTCGATCGAGGAGTGCGTAGTGGTGTCTATCTTCCGTGACGACAATGAAAGGTTTTGCTAGTGTTATGTGCGCTGAGATGAGGGCTGGTTACTTGGGGCCTCTTGCAAGACCTCATATGATACAACTGAAGTCTTTCTCTGCTTAACAAGGGAAGGGTGATGATAGCGCGGATTTTACCTTGGGTGTGGGCTATCTGGATTGAGCTGATCTTAGACAGGGCTGGTTAATCAGTTTTTCTCTTTGGGATCGGGAATTCCAGCTCAGTGTGTTCGTTCTGGATCTTCTTAGCTACTTCATGAACTTGTTCTGGAGTCATGAAGACATGACATATTCTTCCATGCTTAGCAGCGTCCATACCGTCGATTATTTTCCTTGTGGTTTCAAGCAGAATCTTCATTGCGTTTTCGGCTTCATCAGCAATGTGGCCAAATCTAGTCATCATTTTGAGAGTTAGCACCTCGTCAGCTTATCTGTTTTGTTCCTTTTGTAGGTCACTGGTCACGTTTCTCAAGATTATCAGATTTTTGTGGGACTGCTTCATATTATTGATTAATCCCTCAATTTCAGATCGAATGATGTGGGTAGCATTATTCACGATGTGCGTAATTTGGCTTTGACTCTGATATAGTTTATTGATCTCTTTATTGATATGCTCATAGTCATTATAATCCATTACACCGAACAGATCTCGTTGTAATGTGCCTATAAATCCCAGTAGAGGTGCACGAATACTCCTTTCTCCCATCGGATCTTCCTGTTGCTTCAGCATATCTTCAAGGTGTTGATAAAGAGTCTCTGCTTCCTTCTCCATGGCTTGATAGTGGTTTGTCTTCAGAATTCGCTTGCAGTCGTTACCAAGAGCTTCTGAGCATTCACTCCACACTGCTCGGAATCGAGGATGGATTTCATCTTTTATTTTGTTAAAGAAGGCCATGAAGTCGATGGTGGTGATGAGCTGCCATTCTTTCCTTACTTTCCGGACATCTTGAAGTTGCTCATAAAATAAACCTGAATTGTTGGGTAGATGTTCTATTTTAACGTTGGTGATTGGTGGTGTTGCACTGGGCCTTCCCCCAGTCGATGGTAGCATCCACAGGAAAAATAGTTGCCACAACCTCATCCTGATTTACTTCTCACTAAATTTTATAAACGTTTTTCCTTTTTTTATTAGAATTCTGCATGGGAAATGATATTTTGTGAGCAAGATTAATCTGGCGCAATTCTAGCCTTGTTTGGGTGAAGGAGAGATCTCTCTCCGTTTTCATCTTCGATAATCAGACTACCTAGACTCGTAATATCTACAATTTCATAAGAAGTTTTGTTATAGTTGTCGAATTTGCCTTTACGAGGTTCTTTCACAATGTCAACGAACTGCCCTACCTGGAAATTTACTGGTCTAGCATCATCATCGTAGTACCTAACTTGATCCAGTTTGCTGATTAAATTAGCTATAAACTCATCATAGCTTTCGAGTGTTCTTTCATCTGGAAACTCTGAAGGAGCACGAGCTTTCTTTCCGAATATCAGCTCGAAAGGGGTAAAACGGGTAGCTGAATGGACCGTCGTGTTGTAGGAGAACATCGCGGACGGCAACATAACATCCCAGTCATCATAACGGTCCATCATGGTCCAGAGATAGTCAGTTAAGGACTGATGACTCCGTTCCAATGAACCGTTAGTCTGAGGGCGATAGCCAGAAGTTCTGATCGGCTTTACGCGGAAACTCCTAGCAACCTGTTCAAATAGCTTACTTTGGAAACTAGTTCCCTTATCGGACAAGATGGTTTTGGGGGTCCCATGAACTGCGAAAAGGGTTGAAGCTAGTGCCAATGCTATCGTGCTAGTTTTTAAATCGGAAATGGCTGTCGCTAAACAGTATTTCGTCAGACTGTCTTGGATTGTTAATATATGAACGTTACCTCGAGATGTTGGGCATAGGGCGCCTACAGTATCTATTGCTACCTGATCGAAGGGTTCAAGTGGAGTATTCGTAATAACCATAGGCTGACATGTTTTGACTCGATTGACTTTCATCTGGCGACATGTTTTGCAATGTCTCACAAATTCAGTTACTTGTTGAGTGATGTTAGGCCAACAGAATTTTTCCTTTATCCTGCATACGATTTTTACGACACCCTTATGACCTCCCACGCAACTATTGTGGGCTTCCTCAATGATCTTAAGCCGAACATTCTCGTCTGGAATTTGAATGTTACCGTCACATAGGGTGATATCGACTCGATCATTCTCAAAAATTTCTTCTAACAATAATTTGATATCGAGTTCGTCTATCCCATCCCCCTGCTTCGAGACGCGAATCGTGGTTAGGCCATAATGCATCATTGCTTCACGTAGATTATTTAAACCTAACATCACATCCTAAATTCTGGGTTTACGAAAATGATACTCCTTTATCACGACAGTGAATGTTTTGTATTTCCCCAACGGAGTAATGAACACGTCCCCAACTTTTGGCTTATAATTTCTCAAAGTTTTACCGTCAATTAATCTCGTGGACTGAAGGACTTTGCTAATTGGGGTCGTTAATTCAAAATCTGCGCTTAGAAAATGGACTAAGTTGTCCCGTTTGTAGGTAAGACCGTCTCGAGAATATTCGATTTTAGGATTTTGAGTTCCTACACCTCCTCTCTCGATATCGATGATATCATTTAATGACAATGGGCAATCAATTTACAAGTCAGAGGATTTGATACTGAGGGTTTTAGGAATTTGGATATTGGGTTGAGGAATTTCGATGAGATTATTTCTTTGAGGATCATCGGTATCCGGGTCGTGATTCCTTTGAGGCGTCCTGGGTGTAAAGAAACTCAGTATTCTTTTTGCTTTCTCTGGGCTGGACACTCGATTTGGATGATTGACCATTGGACTAGATCTTGCCATTGGTTCATCCCCCCGGTTCGGGGTTGGAGCAAATGATACTCGTTTTTGTTGGATTGGAGCGATGATCGACTTTCTCGTCGAGCCTCCTGGTTTCGTGGGATCTTCGCTACGAAGGTCAATGACTGCATCCACCTCTTCGTCGTGGTTGCTTCCAATATGAGACTTGTCGGTTAATCTACTTACGTCTAGCAGATATTGCTGATACAATTCTTCTGCCTGTTTCTTCACCTCTTCATTACTAACATCAGTAGACGTTTCACTGTTTTCCGCATTTTCAAACTTCGATTTATTTATTTTATCTAGAATCGAAAATGATTTCTCTAGCTCTTCAGAGGAATCATGCGGAGTTTTTTCAGCTTCGTCAACTCCTGCAATTTCTTCTTCTTTCTCTGAGGGGTCTTGGAGAGGGGGTTCGTCGATCAATTCATCTTCTGAATCCGATTCTTGTTCCAGTCTAGGGTTGTCCTTCAGCACGATGACTGACGGGTTATCTGGTGGCTCGGGTTCATCAGCGAATACTTCTTCTTCCAGGACTTCTGGCTCTTCTTCGACCTCTTCTGCTTCGAATTTCGAGGTTGAGGGTTCGGGAGATGGTGACGCTGAAGGAAATGTTGGTGCTCGAGGACGAGGTCGTGATAAGATGGAATTAGGCCAGGCTTTAGGAGGTGTAGGAACTGATGACGTACGAGGTTTGGGTTGGGATCGGCTGGAAGTAGGCAGGGTTTTAGGAGGTGTGGGAGAATCCTTCGCTGACCGAAGCCTGCGATTAGCAACTAGTCGTGATGCTATTGTATCTCCTGGAGGTCCCATTGGCGGATTCACTGCTGGGCTAGATGTTTTCAGACGTCTTGGTGCAAATTTGCTGGGAGTTGACCGTTCAACTTTCTGGTTGGTGGACTCTACTGTCTTGGTTTTTGTACCTGGTGGTCTACCTCTCTTCTTAGGAGCTTCTTTTTGGTGTCTTGAAGAAGCTGTCTCCATTTCTTTTGTAGTCCTCGAGTACATCATTTTATCGAGAAATAGTCGAAATCCTTAGCTTCTTGTTCAGTTTCGAGCGGGTCCACAGGTTTGCAGGTCAAAACTTTTGCAATCTGCTTCGTCTTTTGAGCTCGATAGTGGGGCGTGAAGTCAAATCCAGATATTTTGCTTTTGAAGAGTGCTTTCCTCGTGGTTGGATCCAGAGTATCTTGAAGCCATACAACCGCTGAACTCTCGGCATACAAGTCAAAATGCTGTCCATAAATATATGGTCAAAATTGATTAAGAGCATACACAACTGGAAAGCAATCACGTTCATCTGGTGTATAACGAGTTTCAGCGTCGTTTAGTTGACGCGATCCATGAGCGATTGGGCCTTCTACGCCGTCATCATCTATCTGGGGCAGCACTGCTCGTACTCCGATTGGTGAAGAATTAACGGTCACCATGAATGGTTTCGAGTTATCTGGGTGACGTAGAAAAGGCTCCTGGGATAAAAATAATTGCAATTCTCTGAATGCCAACTCTTCCTTTGAACCCCATCTCCAGTCGTTTTTCTTCTTAAGCAAATTGAATAAGGGTTTAGCTCTAGGGACATACCATTCTCGGAAGTGGTTGAAGTAATTACACATTCCAATAAAGCTGCGAAGGTCTCTTTTTGGAACGTTGATCTTCATTATCGCATCGACTTTCGTGGGGTCTGGCCTTATTCCATCTTTATTGATTATGTATCTCAGGAAACAATGTATGGGTTTCAAGGGGAGTGATTTCAGGGATAAGGTATTAAGGGGCAGAGAAATTTCGGCCTCTTCCTTGACGAGGAAATGATTGCCAATTATTCCAGCGTAGTTATTATTGTTCAAATGATTGATGACATGAAAACTAGAAGGGATACCCTCAATATTCAGAGTTACTATTCCCAGAATGTATTCTTTCCCCCCTGCGACGCCAAACAAGTACCTTGGTGGACAGGGAGTAATATTGAGTTGATCAGCCAAAGCTTCTCTGGTGATCAGGTTCAAACTGGCACCCGTATTGATAAGGAACAATTCGCTCTTTCGCGCTAATTTGGGTGAATTGAGGGAAATATACGGTCGTCTACCTGTGGCATAAATTTGTAATTTATCAATTTCTTTCGGGGGAGCTATTTCGAAAGGAAAATTCTTCCCGGAGATAGTTGAAGTATTATTGCAATATGAAATTATTCCCTTTTTCTCTGCTAGAAAGTCCAGCCCTAACATTCCTGTATTCCTGTATTCCTGTAGTGGTGATTCGGTGACAAAGAATTTAAATTCGACACCTCGGATGTCAATGTCAACGAACCCAAGCGTGCTCAAAATGCCATCTCCGACTCCGACAATATACATTTTTTTTGATTGATCAACAAAAACATCCGGTTTTAGAGCTTTGATCCAGATCAAATTCACTTACCCCCCTGTATCGATTAAAATGTCAGCCTGATTCGATTTAAAATAACAATGTCTGAGAGTGGTTACGGGACAGGTGTTAGATGGTTTGTCAGGCCTTATTTTTATTTTTACTTCTTGAGCAGATTCCTCACTTGGATTTGGGACTGTCTCAGGTTGCTGCTCACTCCCGATGGTTGGAAGTGAGCAGCCTGCCCGTTTAAAGGCTGGAAATTTTGTGTGGTGGGGGCCTGGATATCCTGTGACTGGGGAGCACGCTGACCAATTGGGTTATTATGAGTGAAATTGGTTTGATTGTTGACCGCCTGATCACTGCAATTGGTTTGGGATTTATTGTTAAATCGAGGATCACTACTAGAATTAAAGCTCAATGGATTGACATAGCGCTGGTCATTATTATATCCTTGAAAACTGGGGATATCAACCGTGCCATGTGAAGCTTGAGGAATTTTCTGTTTGGTACCAGGGTAATTTTGTACCTGAGACCCATGATTCAGTTGTTGTGGATATTTGAAAGCGGGGTTTGTTGCCTGCATGCAAAATTGACAATTGCATTTATGTGGTATCCAACCTTGATTTACCGATTGGCGTTTCATCGCCGCAGCGACGTGAAGATTATCCTGATTCATTGCCATAGTAGGGTAATTACACTGGTCGACAGATGAGATTGAAGAATCATTTTCCAAATACGAGGCATGATAGTCCCAAGGGCTTTGAGTAATTGGAACTGTGTCATCACTCTGGGGCATTGACACGAAGGGGACTGAATTCTGCACAGTAGGCATGCAATGAAGATTTTTTTGAGGATTGGGAGCCATTTGATTCACCAATGACAATTGATCCGTTTGATCCGTTTGATGTTGACATTGATTCATCGATGACGATTGATTGTTAGGTAACATGGGGTAAGTTTCCTGATTGTAAGGCTGACTGACATGTATATTGGAGGATTGCTGAGGAAAAGATTTATTTTGAAACTGGTAACCAAAATTTTGTTTATTCGCATGAGCATTGGAGAATTGTCTCGACTGACTGGGAAATTGGTTATTGAATTTTGATCTATTCGTGTCAAAATAAAAATTGTTAGACCGTTCTCTAGGCTGAAAATGAGGATTCTGTTGAAAACCTGAGTTTTGTTGAACATACCCCGATTGCCTTGGATTTGATCCACGTGAAATTGCGAATCTTTGGGCTTTTGACATTAATCGATCGCTCTCTACCAATGGCCTTACTACATCGAATGCCTGCTTTAATGTGGTTACATTGTTTCTTTTTAGTTCGGCACGATATTCATCCGCAATTACCTCTTCGAATTTTTTCAGGGTGAATTCTTCAAGAACGTCAACGAGAGTCTCATACTTATCTGGGAACCCGTCTTGCAATGATGCTTTTGCATACTTGAGTACGCGCTGTAACCGGAGATTGAAATCATCAGCCTCTTCGTTCT